ATATTACAACTTTGATGGTTGTTTACGAGCTTTTTTAACTAAATTACAGCAGCAGATGTTTACTTACCGAGTGTAGAACGAGCCGAAAAGAAATTAGTTTACAAAAAAGAAAAAAAAAAACTGACTTTATTTAAAAAACGAATGTTCTCCCGACTGGATCTGTTTGTGTTCGGCAGGTTTGAGTGCAGATTRTCTCTGCGAGGCTGCAGCAGCTGAAACGTGTTTTCCTTCCTTGAGGTCAGCTTCTCTGTGGGTGTGTGCACAAGCTGTCAGCGAGCACTTACATAACTCCAAACTGAAGTGTGGGTGTGTGCTCCAACATATGTAACGCTCCGGATCCTGCAAATGATTTACTCCTTAAAGCACTTTCAGCCAGAAGAGAGCAGGTGTGAGATTAAAAACAACAAGCTGCCACACCTTTGCTGTTAGACTAACATGTTTACCGACTGCTTTTTAACCTATAGGCCGGTGCACGGCGTGTTGCTTTAGTGGGATTTAGCAGGAGAGAATGCACAGTGAGCTGCGGCGTGCACAGGCAGTAGCTCTGTTTGGGTTTGATTGGACTGCACAGATTGGGTGTGCGTGTACCAGCTCGCCTGGTAAAAACCTCTGCAGGTACGGGGGGCACTGAGGTGCAGCAACCCGATGATGCCGGCTCACCTTTATCAGGTAATTTGTCAGGTGAACGATAAACGCACTCAGCCAGCCCTGCAGGCTTTGGGTCTGACAGCAAACTGTTCAGGAAGACTGATGGAGGTGAGGCGTCACATTCTAATGGTCAGGGGAAGAAGATGATTAATTAACCAGTAAAAGCTGCGTCATAAACCCATTAAATGTGTTTTAACTTCTGCAGACACCAACGATAGTTAAAAATAGACGCCAACAAAAAGACAAATCTTCACWCAAGACTTAAAAACTGTCTGACGCAGTCAAAAAAAAACCAAACTGAAGTCAGTTTCTGATTCCTGCTTCAGCTCAGTAAAGGACTATTCCGCTTAATTTGTATCATTTTTAATGAGCTCTACATCAAAAAACATAAAGATTAAACGGTCTCAACCTGGACCAAACTATTATACGCTACAACCAGAATCAACTAAATACACGTTGCAATATGTAAAATATATATTTTATTAGTTAAACTTMAAAATAAAGGCAATTTTATGTGTTTTTTTCCTGCAACTTCACCACAACAGAAGAGGATCAGTTCAAAAGCAAAAACATTTTTAAAGAAGCCTGACCACACTGACCTACACCAGGGCTGTGTATTGGCAAGAATTTGGCGATACGATACATATCATGACAGAGGGGTCATGGTACGATATATCCAGATATATTGCGATACTGTAAGCAAGGTGATATATCGCGATATATTGCGATTTTTTTTGTCCAAGAATTCTATTAAATAAAAACCTCTTACTGGAAAAAAAAAGAAAAACCAAAATTCATTGTCTCAGAAAATTCTAATATTACAGAAACAAACTTTTGATACATTTAGCTGTGTTCTGCTTTGTATGTGTTTTATTTTATTTGTTTCATGTTTCTTATTTCATCCATGT